GGATGAGGAGCAAGAGCAGGAGCAAGAGCGGCACGATGAGGTTCAGGAACAGGCGGATGAGAAAGACGATGAGGAGGACGGCTCTGAGTAGGAAAAGGAGTGGGAGTATGAGTAGGAGTAAGAGTAGGAGTGATATTAGGAGGAGGAGTAGGAGGAGGAGGAGAAGGAAGAGGAGGAAGGAGAAGGAAAAAGAGGAAGAGGAGGAGGAGGAGGAGGAGGAGGAGGAGGAGGAGGAGGAAGAGGAAGGATGGAAGGAAGAGGAGGTGGAGGAGGGAGGAGGAGGACAGGAGGATAGGAGGAGAAGGAGGAGGAGGAGGAGGAGGAGGAGGAAGAGGAGGATGAGAAGGAGGAGGAGGAGGAGGAGGAGGAGGAGGCGCGTACTCCTCGTGACGCCAGGCGGGTTGACGCCAGGCACAAGCTACATGCTCGAAGTGGTGTCCAGCAAGGCGGACAGGCCGGCTTCCACCGCCGCCGCTCCCCCTTTTGCGAGGGGGCTCCCCGACCGTTCGTCGCCGTCCTCATCTTCGTCGTTTCCTCCGCCGCCGCCGCCGTCGTCGCCGCCGCCGCCGCCGTCGTCGTCGTCGTCGTCGTCGTCGTCGTCGTCGTCGTCGTCGTCGTCGTCGTCGTCGTGTCGTCGTCGTCGTCGTCGTCGTCGTCGTCGTCGTCGTCGTGGTCGTCGTCGTCGTCGTCCTCGTCGTCGTCCTCGTCGTCCTCGTCGTCGTCCTCGTCGTCGTCGTCGTCGTCGTTGTCGTGGTGCTGGTGGTGGTGGCCGTCGTCGTCGTCGTCGTCGGCGGCGGCGGCGGCGGCGGCGGCGGCGGCGGCGGCGTCGGTGGCTGGTGCGGCGTCGTCGTCGTCCGATCCCTGGTCGTCGTATTCGTCGTCGTCGTCGTCGTCGTCGTCGTCGTCATCGTCGTCGGCGGCGGCGGCGGCGGTGGCGGCGGCGGCTGCGCCGGTGGCCTCGGTGGCGGTGGCGGTGGTGGCTTCTTCCTCCTGCTTCTGCTGATCCTCCTTTCCCTTCCCTTCTCCTTATCCTCCCCTTCACGTCTGGCCAGCGTCGCTGGAACGCCGTCGTCCTGTTCCAACTTAAAAAAAATCAACCCCATGCTGCCGCTGCCTGGGGGAAGTTTGGCCCACGCTGGGGCCGTCCCGCAGGTCCTGGCCTTAACATTGCCCTGAAGGGTTCTGGCCCGTGGCAGGCCTCGCTGAGGCATTCGCAGCGAGGGCTTCAACACCTCCCCAGACGTGATTCTCGCATCATGTTCGAGCATCTCTCGCCCAGGTTGAGGCTTTCGCACCGACGGCCTTAACGTTTCACTGGCGTGATTTCCGCACGGTCCTCGAGGATTTGCGGTGCACGTCTAGGCCACGTCGAGGCCCTCACGGTGCCCTCGTGGCAAGGGCCTCAAGATGATATCTCCCAGACGTGACCCCCGGATAGTTAGTCTCCGAGAATTTGCCCTGCACTTTGAAGCTATCTTGAGTCCTTGCCGAGGCCATGCCAGGGCCCTGAACCCAGGGCCTCAACATCCCCTGGACGCGATTTCCGCATGAGGACCTCACGTCAGGGCCTCAGCGTCCCCTGGACGCGATGTTCGCATTGTCCTCGAGGATTTCTCGCACGCTTTCCCTGCTGACGTTGGTAGTGATAACACTTATAGGGTGCCCACTGGAGGCTTCCGCGCGCACACTGCGCAGCAGTTTCGGGGAACCGCTGCGCACGCGGCTCGTTGCCAGAAGCCCGGCATCATCTCGTGGCCCCCCCCGCTCCTGGGTCGGCCTCCCTGAGGTGGCGGACCAGCGCCACGTGGCATGTGGGCCTCTGGCACCCACGGTCATGTGCAGCGAGGGTGGCCGCCGCCGCCGCCCCTCTGGCTGCGGCGGCCCACCTGGGAGCCCGAGCCGAATCTTCTAGACCGGATTCTTCCTGGCGCCCGGCCGTGTTGTGCGTTGCCTACACCGCCCATGCTTATGTCCTAGTTACTGGCTTCTTGCGCTCCACTTGGCTGCGCGAGGTGATCTCCTCGCGCCGCCTTGTGTCGCCTTTTTCTGCATGTGCTCTGGACCTGGCGTTGGCCTTATCGCCTCGCTGCCTGCGCCCTGGCAGGGGTGTGGGTCGGCTTGGCCGCGGCCCGCCTCTAATGTGTACCTCTGGTCTTCGGGGGAAGCCTTCATGGTGATTGGCCGTGCTTTCGGATCTATTGCGCTCCACTCGGTTGCACGAGGCAATTTCCTCGTGTCACCTGGTGTGGTGCGAATTTTTTCCCTCTGTCTCTTGGGCCTGGCGTCGGCCTTGCCGCCTCGCTGCATGCGCCTCGACATGGGTTGTGGGCTGGCTTGGCTGCGGCCCGCTTCTCGTTTTTTGCGAGCTCCCCTGGGGTTGCTCGCTTCAGCGTGGTGCTGCGCCATGCTGTCTTTCTTTTGGCCAACTGCTATACTTCTTAAACACCGCCTTAGGCGGGAGGACTTTATGGCCGCCTGGCTGGATTGTACTTCCTGGGTATCTCGTGGTACTCGGTTGGGTGCTACCTTGCCTACACCACCCATGTTGCCTGAGGCACTGGTTTTTGCGACACTCTCGGGTGCGCGTGGCAATTTCCACGTGGCACCTTTCGTGGTGTCGGCGCCCTTTTTCCGTCTGTCTGCTGGACCAGCGGCGGCCTTGCCGCCTTGCTGCTTGCGCCCTGACTTGGGGTGCGGGCCAGCATGGCCGCGTCCTTTTGACTTGCTGCATCCTGGTGTCGCACCTCGGTGTGCGCGTCCGCAGCTGGGGCTGCAGTTCGCTGCCCCTGCTAGGCTTTCAGCTGTATGTCAGCTTGCTCTGCCGGCAGCTTTCCTCCGCGGTGGTTCGTCGGTCCCCTCCCCATTGGGTCGCTGGGGTCTTTCGGTCCTCGCCGCCGTCCGTCGGTCTCGGGTGGGCCGTGTCGTGGAATCTTCCGCCGTCTTCTTTACGGCCTCCTCCCTTGCTTTTGCTCTTGCTATGTCCCCCCCCTATCCTTTCTCCTTCCGGGTCGTCCCCACCGCGGGGGTCTGTCTTTTTTTTGTTAGATCGTTAGCGTATCCTGCCAGCGGGGTCGCTTTGCTCGTCGTCTCCTTTACCCTGTCGCCGGTTGGTCGGATTGGTACGACCTTCAGGGGGATGCGTACAGTCTTTTTTGGGCCTAGATGGTGTCTCCAACTTGCCTGGCTTTGCTTTCAAATGCCTCGCTGGTAGCCCTTCGCGGCTCATGTTGCGGTTGGGGATTACTGTTTTCACGTTGGCGTTGCATTTCGCGCTCGGCCATGCTATCGCCCTGTCCACCACCCATGTGCGCCGCTACTTTTTACTGCTGCTGCTCGCGGTCGCCTGCGTTCGATTATGTATTTGTTTGCCCAAGGCCAAGACAGCCTCGGCCGCGTGACCATAGTTATCACGCGGACCTCATTCACCGTGTTGACGGACGCTCAATCCATTACTTGTTCCCTGCAAGGTCTGTGGTGTTGCTTTGTCGCGCAGTTTGTCTGCGTGTATGCACCGCCACCAGGTCGGCTGGTCTGGCAGACTTCTAGTTGTTCATTGCTGCTGTCTCTTTGAGGCTCCAATTAGCACCAGCCTGCTGCTTGCGCTTCTAACCACTCGCGTCAGCTGCACTTTGGCTTTGCAGCGCCTCTTGTTTTTTGTCCACCAATATGCATGGCCCTGGCTGGCCTCTTTTCATCATGGCGCGTTCGACAAAGTATGTTTGCAATTGGCACCTCCACCTGCCGACCGCGCCTGAGGTCCCACTGCGCCGCTGGCTTAAACAGAGTGTGTGTGTGGTGCGTGCCTGCGTAGTTGTAGTTTCCAGAAGTAGCAGCGTCGACTCTTGTGGGTCTGTTGTTTCCCGTAGTTGCTCAAGGGATGTTTCAGGGCTTTGGTGGCACCCGTTTCCATGCGTGCGTGTCAGCAGAGTGGCATGCGTGACGTTCTCGTCTGTGCTCGAGTGTGCATCTTGTACCTTGCTGCCCCGCTGCCTTTTCATCTTGTCGGCTTCTGGGGCGCAGAGCCCCCCGAGCTGTCCAGCTTCTGGGGTGCAGAGTCCCCCGAGCTGTCCCGACAGCAGCCGGTGCTCAAAGAGATTTCGTCCGGGCTGGTGCAGGCCATGGAAAATATTCGCAGTTCTTTCTCGATGTACTTGAGGTGCTCCTTCTGATCCTCTCGAGCCTCTTACTCGCGTATTTGCGGTGTGGAGGTGCGAGGCCATTGAGTTCGAAGTCTTCGCGTGTTCCTCTCTTCACAATAGTGTGTGTGTGTGCGTATGTGTGGTGTGTTTGAGTGTGGTATGTGCTGTGTGTGTGTGTGTGTGTGTGTGTGTGCGGGTGCGTGCGTGTGTGTGTGTGTGTGTGTGCGTGTGTGTGTGTGGTGTGTGTGTATGTGTACGCGTCAGTGTGTGTGTGTGTGGTGTTGTGTGTGTGTGTGTGTGTGTGTGCGTGCGTGCGTGCGTGCGTGCGTGCGTGCGTGCGTGCGTGCGTGCGTGCGCGCGCGCGCGCGGGTGTGTGTGTGTGTGTGTGTGTGTGTGTGTGTGTGTGTGTGTGTGTGCGTGGACTTTTGTGCATGTGTATGTGTGTGTGTGTCTCTCTCTCTCTGTCTTTGTTTCTCTTTGTCTCTCTCTTTCTCTCCTTCTCTGTCTTTCTTTCTCTGTGCTTTCTCTCTCTCTCTCTCTCTCCTATTCTTTCTCCCGTTGGGCAGCGCAGCCTGCCCCGCGGACAGCCTCCACCTCCCCAGACTTTTGACGTATTTTGCCATTTTATGGTGCGGTGTCTTGACGTTTTTCCAATTACGGGGTCCCTGACCCGTTCCCCGTGGAGGACTTTCGCTTCGTGAGCGCGCGTGCCCCGATCCAGAACCACAGCCCAAAAAGCCTCCGCCTTGCTGCTTGCAAGACGTTGGACTGCTGAGCTCCCCGCTCTTCGCCCAGGGCCTGTGATCGGCTCGGACGAAAGGAGGGTAGGGGGGTGAGGAAAAGGGGTGTGTGCGAAACCTGCTGCGGGCACCGGATTTGCGTCCCGCCGCCTGGGCGGCTTTCTCGGTAATTGCATGGGCGCCTGAGGCGCCAGGAGGGGCCAGCAGCTACGTCAGCTTGCTCGCTACCCCCCCTTTGCTACCTTCCCCCCTCCCCTCGTCCGCCCCAGTCCTCGCAGGCCTCTGAGAGCTCGAAGGTCGGCTGCGCGTACGAGTGATCCCTCGCCAGAGTGGCCTTTGGTGCGGTGCCTACAGGGGTTCCCCCATCATTGGCATGCGCGCTTGGGTGTGACTCCCCGCGGCCCCCGAAACCCGCGCACCCAAAGTCACTTTTGCTCAGGGCCACTCTTCCGTATACAATGGAAACCAATGCCAAAAAACACCCCGCTTGTCTCCAGGGTGCCCTGGGTTTCTAGAGTTTGGATGGTTCCCCTCTGGAAAGCGTGACGCTCCCATACCAAAAATCAATGGACGTCATGGGGCTTCAGGGTTGGGTTTCTAGTGGAAGTGGAAGGTTTCTGGTGGTCGTGCTCTTACTGTAGGCGAAAAGACTCGTCAGAGGTCTCCCAACTCGCGCCAGGGGCCTCGCGGGAGCGCCCGCGCTGCCCTGCCGCTCCCCCGCCGCGAAGGACCTCCGTGGCGGTGCGCGTCGACGCTTGCACCTGCGGGCCGCTGGACGCCCCCGGCTCGGCGGGTCGAGGACCCGCCCTCCCCCGGGGGAGGAGAGCTTCCGCCAAAAAGCTCGAACCGCACGAACACGAGCTGTCGGAGCTCCCTGCGGACCTCTTGGATCGGCGCCTGGGGCCCCTGGCGGCGCCTCCGGCGCCGCCTCCAGAGCGCTCCGCGCGCCAAGCAGGGGGGTCCAACGCCGATCGAAGAAGTCCGCGCAGAGCTCAGACAGTTTCACTTTACGCCGTTGTTTCTTGATGTCAGCTCCGTGCGGCGCAATCAAAGTAGCGACGGCCAGCTTTTGATAATGGTTTTCGGCCTTCTGAGGCCGTCTCCAGGCCTTCGGGTACTCAACAAACAACCCATGATGAAAAAATGCTTCCGGGGAAAGGGTTGCCATCCTGGGGGGGCCGACGTCACCACGAACAATGGCGACGTTGGATGAAGAGGGAGTGAGGAGCGACACATTGACTTTCGTGGGTTTCGAGGGTACGCGTTGCGTGAACGTCAGTAACGCGAGCCTTGACTCGCGGACTGGGGACCGGTATTTCTGTACGTGGCTTGGCGCGTCTGTTGTTTGGGGCTCCTGAGGGACGAGGGTCGGGCCAGACGAAGAGGGGGGGGGATTGGGACCGAGGATCAACGAAGACGTCGTTGGGCGTCCCTGGATGCTCGTCGCTGCGGCCAGGCGCGGCCCAGGGAGGGGCCCGATTTGAGCGGATTCCTGTGGCGGGGTTCCCGGGTTGGACGAAGCGGGCGTATCCCTTCAGATTCTGGAGTCGCAACTCTCGTGCAACGGGCGTGCTCGCCCAGTTTCGGGCCCCGGGGCCCCAGGGCCCTCGCAGCTCGATCCGGCTCGAAAAATGATGCAGAAGGATGGGGTCTGGGGCTCCGGGTGTGATATTTTGCGGTGGTGCACGTCTTTGCAACGTCAGATCAGAGGGTCGGGGGAGGGTGAGGGTGCGAGATCCACTGGCTCCTCCGGCGCCGGGAGGCGCTGCGTCTCCCGACCCATGCCCCCGACACTCCCACGGCAATGTGGCCCTCGGAAAGGCCTTGTGCCCTCCCGCGTGTCCTGTCCAATCAGGTCCGACTGCACCGCCCCTGGTTGCTGTCCCCCCTTTCTCGCCCGCCCCGAGGGGGCGGACGGACGGCGACCGCTGTGGGCTGGGAGCCGGTGGGGCGGGGGCAGCGGCCAGTGCGCCACCGGGAGCAGAGCTCTCGTCGGCGTGGACGTCGGAATTGGTGCTCCGCGCCCGCCCCTCGCGGGGGGGCCTGGGTGGGAGGGGGCATCAGGCCTGATGTCGGGGGCGAGCTTGTGGGGGAAGTGAGGAGCAGGGCTCGAGCTGAGCGTTGTTTTGGCGATTTCGTGGACCGTTTTCGTTTTGATTGCGTTTCGCAGCAAAGGCAGAACGAAGACAGAACGAAGGAAAGACGAGCACATAACGAAAATGGGAAACACTGTTCTGCTCGAGCCCTGGTGAGAGGGGGCGGGCCTTCTCAGAAGGCTCGAAAAAGTTTTCGGGGCCTCCTGGGAAGGTTTCTGAGCATCACCCGAAGACACAGGAGACGTCCCAGCAGACCGGAGGCCTTCTGAGAAGCCCCGCCGCCTTCTGAGAAGACCTTCTCCTTGTCACTTCCCCCCCTCGCTCGCCTCCGATGATGGGGCAGCCAGGAGGGGCGGTCTGAGGTGTCCCAGGAGGACTGCCTGCGGATGCCGAGAGGGAGCTCCAGAGGGATCTGTCCCTGGGAGCAGGATCGGGGTTCGAGGGTCGAGGCTTCTTGGGCGTTGTTCGCCTTGCAAGCGCCTTTGGGGGAGCTTCCCGCCGCCACTGCAGGCTTCCCTTCAGAAGGTATGGTCGAAACGCGCTCCCGACTGGTCCAGAGACCGAGTCTCGAGGGAGGAATCCTATTGTATGTGGGGGAGGACGGACGGGCGAGCAGAGAGGGAGGGAGGGAGGGAGGGAGGGAGGAGGAGCAGGAGGATGAGCAGGAGGAGGAGGAGGAGCAGGAGGAGGAGGAGGAGGAGGAGGAGGAGGAGGAGGAGGAGAAGGAGGAGGAGGAAGAGGAGGAGCGGCGGGGGGGAAAGGACGGGGATCAGGAGTAGGAGGGAAGTGGATCAGGGCCGTCGAAGGGGTGGACTGTCAGATCAAGGCCATCGAAAAAGGAGACTCTCTCAGGGGGAGAAACATCGACGCAATTTGTTCACGCTGGGCGGCTTCGTTTGGATTCGGTCCCTGGTACCCTCCTTTGTCGATCCGGCTCGAGAAATCGCCGAAGGATGGGGTCGAGGGCTCTGGGCGTGTCTCGTCCTTCTCCAAGCAGTGCGTCCACTTTGTTTTCTCTTGTGCTTGTGCTTTAACTCATTAGATGGGTGGACCAGGGATTTGCCTGAGGCCTAGCCTTTCTCATCCTCGTTGCCGCCGCGCGCGTGGTGGGTGGACCGTGGGATTCGCCTAGTGCCCCGCCGTGGCCGCCATTTTCTTGCGCATCATTTGGCTTGCACCATACCATACCCGTCGGTCGTTGAATGTAGTTATTTTTGGCAGCCCAAGGCGCAATCTACTGTAGGCGCCTTCCTACTTTAGAAGTCGAGTGGCGTTCCCCCTTCCCTCCTCTTCAGGGGGCGGGCGGAAGCCCAATCTGCTTTCGATGCCGTCCTGCTTATGGTTCTACCCACTTCTTGCGACCGACGGCTATAGCTTGCGACCGAGAGATTCCATTCTTAAAGGGAGATTCGACTCCCCCCCACAGTTTGCCGCCCCACTCCGCGCTTTTGTTGACAAAGGCAATATTCTGCGCGATCGCCCACCCTAAATAACAGGTGATAGCATGCCAGCCAGGCTGGTATCGACACTCCCAGCCGCCTCCTGCAGCAAATCTCATGCGGTTCACGTGCAGGCCTTGATCTGATAGCTACGTTTTACAATCTTTCTTGAGAGTATCTTGCAGCAAGCTCATTGCGGGGCACGTGCGAGCGCCCCCGCGCGCGCACGTCAAAATCATCCCAAAGCCATCGCTTTGTGATCATGTTCAAGACCCACTGATTTTTGAGCATGTTCAAGACATGGCGATCCAAACGCTAACAACAGCCATTGGTATTCCAACAGTTCAGTTGCTGGAATTATGCTCGCGGGCGCTCGCCGAAATCGTAACAGAAGCACAGGCTTTTAGCCGTTCCGTCAAAGTCGCCCTTTCGGGCAACTCGCGCGAGCATGGCGAAAACGTTCAGCCACCATGGAGCGCCCACCAAGTCTGGCAAATAATCGAATGCGGGCCACACGCGTGCGTCTTCGTGCGTGCACGCTGACGTGCCTAACATAACGAAACACTAATGTTAGTCAAGAAAAGACATGTCAGGAATTCAGATATCCTGCGGGTGCGCACTTCACCATCACCCCCACCAGCGCATTCGTTATCATCATCATCGTCAGCGCCAGCGCCAGCGTCAGCATCATCATCATCATCATCAGCAATATCATCATCAGCAAAATCATAGCCACTATGGCTCTAGCCGTTGCTGGATCTGTGGCCCCTTGCTGGCACGTGCCCATGCCTGCCGCCGTTCCCCGCTCGCTCCTGCAGTCTTCCGATGGTCCATGTTGCGCGTCTCGACTGGATTGTGCAGCATCTTCGGCTTGGTCGACAAGTTTCGGTCCGCGTGCACTCGCACATCGGCAAATTGAATGTGCATGTCTGCCCGTACTCAGACCGCTCCTGGGGTATGCAGAACAAGCTGGCCATAGACCTGATCACTCACATTGCGCATGACTTTGTGTTCTTCACCATTGTGGACCATGGGCGCTAGAAATCGAACGGAGAGTCCCGCGTCAGCCTCTCTCTCTCTCTCTCAAACCTGCGCCTCCTCGCCTTCTGCGGCTGGACATCACGATGATGATGCCGCTCCACAAGGTCCTGGTGGTGATGACAGCAGCGGTGGCGACAATGCTCCTGGCCCTCGTGATCGGTGTGGTCGTCGTGACGTTGGTGGGGCTCCGCTTCTCAAGGTTCCTCGGACTGGTGGTGGTGGTGGTGGTCTTCCTTCAGCTGGTGATGCGGGCTTTCAAATTCTTGGAGTGGCCGCTCATCCTGAGGTTCTGTGCGCTGGTGCTGAGTTTCCTGACGATGCTAGTGGTGAACTTCCTGTCGGTCGCGTGCCTTCCGATGGTCCTCGGCTTCCTGGTTGCCGAGCGCTTCTTGATGGACGTGCGCTTCCCCATGATCGTGGCATTCTTGATTGTCGCGAACTTCCTGATGTACGTGATGCTCCTGCTGTTCATGACCGCCAGTGGAGTTGGCCTGCTGGTGCTCCTGCAATGTGGGCACACCTGCAACGCGTCCTGTATGCTCTTCCGTGGTTTGGCGGCTCGGAGCCTCGCGAGGACAGTGGGCTTCACGAGCCCCCTGATGGTCGTGTGCTCCCTTTTTTTTTGTCATGTGCTTTTTGATGTTCGTGAGCCTCCTAACGGTCGTGAGCTTCTTGAAGGTCTTGAGTTTCTGGAGGTTCCCGATGGTCGTGTGCCTTCTGATGGTCGTGGGCTTCATGATGGATGTTCGCGAGCTTCCTGATGGTCAAGAGCCGTGCGATTGTGATCGTGCGCTTCCTGATGACCGTGAGCTTCCCGATGAGCATGTGCTTCTTGCTGTTGCTGATCGAATTGTTCAAGGTGTTCTTGGGCTTCCTGCTGGTTGTGAACCTCCTGATGGCCGTGCCCTTCCGGATGGTCGAGTGCTTCCTGACGGTCGTGAGCTCCCTGATGGTAGTGGGCTTCGGTGCGCCTGGGTGGGGAGGCCCCACACATCTTGACGAGCTCTGGATTGTAATGAAGCCATGGACCATGGGCACCCCGCCATGCCCGCCATGCCTTGGCTGACGGTTTTTCCGGCGCTCGCGGTTGGCGTGGTTTTCGCCCCCCACCCCCCTTCCGCGGAAGATGGCGATGCAGGTTTAGGGGTATAAGTAGATCGACCTTGTAATGTAATTTTTGTCGGGCCGGAGGGGCCGTGCGGGGGAGGAAGATGCACGCGCCGCCTGGGCCCGAGCGGGAGGAGAATCCTAGGGTGCGATCGCTGCAATCTGGGCGCTCACCCGTGCACCTTGGCCCGGCCTCCCGAGAGCAAAAAGTCAGAAAGATATCGCTGTGTTGTCTCACTCTTCCATTCTCTCTGGTCGTGGGCTTCCAGGTGGTCGTGAGCTTCCCGAGTCTGATGGTCGTGGGCTTCCTGATGGGCATGCGCATCCTGCTGGAAATGATCGGGAGTTCATGATGGGTTTGTGCTCCCAGATCATCGTGAGCCTCCTGGTGGACGTGGGCTTCCTGATGATCGTCGGCTTCCTGACTTTCATGGGCTTCCTGGTGGTCGTTCGCTTTGCGAGGATGGTGGTGCGCTCCTTCTTCGGCGTGATGCACTTCCTGCTCGTGCTGGTCGTGGGCTTTAAGATGATCTTGAGCTTCCTGCTGATCGTGAGCTTCATGATGGCCGTGAGTTTCCAGAGGGTTGTGAGCCTCATGTCGGTCGCTGGCTTCCTCATCGTCGTGAGCTTAGCTTCGGTGGTGGTGCGCTTCCTGATACTCGTGAGCTGTCAGATGGGCAGGCGCTTCCTGCTGGTGAGCCTCCTGATGGTCTTCCTGTTGTCCCAGGTTTTCCCCATCTGTCTGTAGATGGCAGCTCGCACTCTAGACGTCTGCAACGCCGTGATGGCTCGTTAGTTCAGTCGATCTCGAACCAGGTTGAAGCCACAAATTCGTTTTTCGCCAATTTGTTGCCATAAGGTCACAACTGGCCACGCTTGACGACAACATGGAGGTCCTTTCCTCTGACCTGGCTTCTGTTCGCGGGAACAGAGAAGTCAGCAGGAAGCTTTGTGCTGCTATGGACAAGGCTGGCCGAAAGCGATGATGTGAATCATCAAGTCGAGCTCATAGTGTCGACGCTGTCCCCGCTGAAAGTGCCGAGCGGGGGAGAACATCATCACCATTATCATCATCATCGTCGTCATCATCGTCTGGACCATCGCCACCGCCGTCATCGTCGTCATCGTCGTCATCGTCGTTATCGTCGATGTCGTCACCCGCCCTCGTCAACTACATGCGTACGGGCACTTCATCATCACCATCATCATCGTTGTCATCATCACCACAACCGTTACCAACATCATCGCCGTCATCAACCACAAACCACATTATCACCATCGCTAACACCATCATCAATATGAGCATCATCATCATTGTCATAATCAGCATAATCACTACCAACATCATCACCACCATCATCGCCAACATCTTCATCACCATCACCATCACCATTATCGTCGTCATCACCATCGCCACCAACATCATTCGCATCATCATCACCACCACCTGCATCATCGTTATCATTACTGCCAACGTTATCGTTCCCACAGTCGTTATCATCACAGTCAGCATCACCACAATCACAATTGTCGTTGTCGTCATCGTATCGTCTCCCATCGCCATCGGCATTGGCGACATCACAGCTGTCATTTTCATCGTCATTGGTTTCGGGGTCGTCACCAACGCCGCCACCATTTCGCGACCTGCACCGCGGGGTCGTCTGCGCGGTTGAGTTCCACGTGTCCGTGCTTAGCCGACAAGGTGCGGGTGGGAGGGTGGGATGTTTGCACGAGCAGTGGAGTTGACGACCCCAACTTCTTCGTAATCGTGCACAACGTAGGTTGCACCGCGTCGAGCGCACCCCATATCGCACATTCAGCAACATCTGAATGCAAGAACCCACTGTTTGGGGTCCACGCTGACAGACATCGTGTTGTAGTTTTCACGACGTCGGATCTCATTCTCCTACCCTCCTCCACCTCCTCCCCTGTGATGGGGGATATCAGTCCCCTCTACCGCCCTTCGGGTGTCGCGCCGGCCCGTGCCTGCGAGGCAAAGATACTGTGGACGAAGACGCCCCTCCTCCAGGCCTCGTGGCGCGCCGCCCGGGAGTGGTAAGGTGGGTGGCGCGGTGGAGCGTCCTTGCCACGGGAAGAGGGAGTTTGAGCTCCTCCCCCTTCCCCCTACTGGCGAATTAGTTTTCGGATCAGTGTTTGGGCGTCCGGAGTAGTCAGCACGTGCACTTCATCAGGCTTGGCACGGGGGTAAAACAAGAAACAGGGATGACCCCTCTCCCTCCCTTCGCCGCTGTTTTTCACTGGGTTCCAGCGGCCTTCGGAAATTGTTCGAACCCGCGAGGGCTTCGGGGGTATGAGGGCCCCTTCCCAGCAGCTGGTGTAATGCGAGAGATTCAGGACATGGCCGACTCCGGAAACCCAGGATCCTAGAGTGTTGACATCTTTTTTTGACTTCTGCTGCTTTCCGCCAGCCTTCCGCCAGCCTTCCGCCGGCTTCCGCCGCCAGCGGAGGCGCGCCCTTATTGGACCCCCACTGGCCTTCCGCCGGCCTCCGGTGGTTTTCGTCGAGCGGAGATGCGCCGCAGGCGAGGCCCTTCCTGGAGCGTCCCACGTGCTGCTGCTGTGCTGATGTGCTGATCGGGCTCGTGCCACGCTTCCGTACGTGAAGGCTGGGCAACGGGCGGCGCGCTCCGAAGAGCTGAGGCGGCGAGGCGGAGAGTGGTCGAGGACGAGGTGGAAGGAGGGAGGGAGAGATGGAGAAGGGAGGAGAAGGGTAGAGGAGGAGAAGGGTAGAGGAGGAGGAGGGGGAAGGAGGAGGAGGACGAGGAGGAGGAGGAGGAGGAGGAGGAGGAGGATCAAAGCAAACCCAGCACACGCCATCGACTGCTGCAACACACCCTTCTGTCCCGCGCCCACTCCTCATAAGTTGCCGCTGGGAAGTGCGGCCGCAGTCGCTTGCATGGCGCGTGCCATGTGTTTTTGAAACGCGCATCAGGGACCATGGAGATGTGGAGTACACGATCGCATACTGTAAGCGGAAGTAGCGTAGCTGGTATAAGTATTGGTAATGTGTGTGAAGCGCCGAAGTGAGAGCACGATTGTGGAAATTAATCGCCTGCCATCCCTGTAGCGGTTGAAGCTGCGATGCATTGGGTCTGTATGTGTGTGTGTGTGTTGGAGACGCAGTATGATCTGTTTTTGATATAGCGGTTGGGAGTTTCAGTGCCTGTTGGATTGTGATCACAGGGTGCACGGACGCTTCAGGCGCGGGCCCGATTTTGAGAGGAAGCCGCCCTCTATACTTGTCGCTGACTGGACTGTCATTTTCATGCGCATACAGTGCGAGGCATACCCAGGCGATATTATAAAGGTACCGCGCTTCAACCGTGTCATTGCTGGAGGCGTGCACGACGAATATGTGCTGCACTATATACGAGCCAGATTTGAAAATTACCCTTTCACCACTGTTGTATCTGTGGGTATGAGCAATGTGCCCAGCGCTCAGACACGTTTTGAGGACGGCCCGCGTTGCATGCGTGTAGCTGTGGAAAGATGGCAAACTTCAGGGTCGTAAGTTGTGAGGAAGTCTCTTGCGGAATGCCTGGATCGCCCTTCCAACGCGTGTGATAGTTTGACGAGGAGTGGTAGCTTGTAAGGAAGAGGGGGGTGGGCAGAGTAGGAGGAGGAGGAGGAGAAGGGGGAGGAGGAGGAGGACGAGGAGGAGGAGGAGGAGGAGGAGGAGTCGCAGCCAGACGATGATGAGGATGAGTATGAGGATGGGGGCGAGGATGAAAATGAGGATGATGATAATGACGAGCCCTTCTGCTTTCTCCCTCCTCCCCCGTCCCCATTCTGCCCCCCTCCCGGTCGAGTCCACCTCCCTCTCGCCCTTCCCGCCGCCCGCCTGCTGCAGTCCCTCGCCCCTCCGTTTTTTTTTGTTTTTTGTTTTTTTTTCTCTCTCTTACCCCTCTTCCTCCTCGCCCTCTCTCGTCTTACTCCCCCTCCTCCTCTCCGTGGCTCCTTCCGCTCCCCTTCCTCGGCTCCCTCTCCCTCGTCGTTCCCTTTTCCCTTTTCCCTCTCCCCTCCCCCGATGGCCTTCTTTCTCCCTCTGCCCCTCCCCCTCGCCCCCTGCCCCACTTCCTGCCGCCTGCCCGCCGTCCTCCTCCAATGTCCTGGTTCCTGTCCCCGCCCTTTCCCCGTCTTCTGCCCGCTCCCTCCCCCGCTCTCCCTCGCCTCTCCCCTCAGAGCATTGGTCCCCGTTCCCCTCAACGCTCCCCTCCCTCCCGCCCCTCTCCCCTGGCCACCTTCCCCCACCTCTCCTCCTGTCCCTCTTTTCCCCTCCCGGCTCCCCTCTTGCTTCGCTCACCTCGCCTCACCTTTTCCTTGCTCTTGTGTCTCCTTGTCCTCTCCGTCCTTTCTCCTACACCTCCTGCTGCTGGATCCTCCTCCCTTCTCCTTTCTCCTCCTGCTCCTCCCCTTCCTGCTCGTCCTTATCCTCGCTCTCCTTGTGCCCCTCCTCTTCCCACTCCTCCTCTGCCTCATGCACGCACGCGCGCGAACGAAACACTGTCCTCCTCCTCTCTCTCCCTCTCTCCCTCCTTGTGCTACTCCTCTCCTTCCCACCCCCCTCCTCGGCCCCGGTCCTGGAGGGGCGGGGAGCGTCGGGAGCAGGCCCCCCCCCCCCCCGCGTGGCTCCGCAGGTGACCTGAGAGCGCCCTGGCTTCACGGGACGGACCCAAGGTCGCTGGGAGGGGTCGGGGATCGGCTACACGTGAGAGTGACCATTCACTGGAGGCACCTTGGGTGCGGGCCCACTTGGGTTCCCGGATCGCTGCGTGCGATGCGACAGCAGCAGCTTGCGCGTGTGGGTCTGGCCCCCCGCGTCCCCCCAAAAGCCGCGCACCAGAGTTCGCTCTTTCCTGGGGTCACTCTTGCGTTTAGCCGACCCATGGCGGATTGTTCCATGCTGTTTCTTGTCAGTCCATGGGTCCCAGAGCTCTCGATCCCTGTTCCCCGATCGATCTTCGGTGGTCCTGGGACCCAGGCTCACCCAGGCGCGCCTGCGGGGGTTGGTGGCCGCGAGGCGGACCCCGGGGGCCAGTGTCGAGAGGGGGTCGGGCACACGCCCAATGGATGACGGATCGGGGAAGGTGCCACTCGAAGCAGGAGGCCAGTGCCGCCTCACTTTTGGGACGGAGCGCACCGATGCTGTACGGGAGCGGAGCCCGTCGCTAACCCACGCGCCTTAATCCATGTTTGCGCTTCCTAGATGGGGGGCCCGCCGCGTAGGAAAGACGCGGAGGACACCAGAAGCACGAGGGCCCCCTGCCAGTAGGTGACGGTTGGGGATGGGTGACTGGGAAGGGGGGTGCGGCGAAGTCTGCTGCGTGTTGCCAGTTTTGGCGATGCCGCCCATTAATCACGTTCCTCGATACATGGCCGCCTCTGGCGCTGGGAGGTGCGGGAGAAGCCAGCTGCATGCAGTCGATTCGCTCCCCCGTCCTTGACTTTCCGTCCACCCCGAGCCTCGCGCAAGACGTCCCAAGGGGGGAGAGCAGCCTTCATGCTCCCCAAACAGTGCCTGCACCGACGTGCCCTCACCAGGTCTCTGAAGTTAAGCTGGACCTGGTCGCTGCTGTTTGTGGTCGTCGCCTCTGGTCCCCGCCTGCCCCTTCTCGGCCCCGCGGGTCCCGGCTGTGATTCCCGTTGCCGCCGCTGTCTCCCAGCAGATTCCAGCCTGGCGTCACTGGCCATTGACTGCCCCAACAGGCCCTCTGCGCGCGGCGATTCTCAGGCAGGTGCTGGCATCCAGGCCACCGTTGCCTTGGGCTGCCGCCCGCAAGAACAGCACCCGCGACCTCCTTCCGCATTCGTTGGTCGGAGGTCATACAGCGGCTCAGGTCAAAAGGAGCCCAGACACGTCTGCCCAGACCAAGCGTCGATTACCCCCTTCTCCTGTAGCTGCCCCGATTTCGTTAGTTTGGTGGAGAATACCCCGCCTGTGTCCTTGCATTCTCTGTGGGGTCCACATGTACTCAGGACACCTTCTCGGGGATGTGTCCCATAGTCTTACCGTGCCTGGCGAACCTGCGCTTGCCTCTAGGTGAGAGTCCTTGCGCTGAGTGCGAGGAGGGGGTTAACATTGGGCGATTCTGGCATGCACACGGCGCATATATTTCAGTTGTCATGTGCTAGATATGTCGATATGTCGACAGGAATGACAGAATAACCAGAACATACCTGGATCCGAAATGCTTTGTTTGTCCCACGCATTTTGCCCCTTCTATGCCCCATGAAGCAGCATGCTGTCCATATCCTACCTAACCTCGCTTCCGCTGTGGCTAGACTCTGTCTGTTAGTCCTCATCGAAGCTATCAGCTATTGCTGGTATTGCTGCCAGCCATTGCGGGAGGCCGATGTCGATATTGAATGCCTACCTGGGCGCTGGAGTGGTGCTGGTGTTACTCCACTGCTCGAACGTCTTCATGGACGGGCGGGATTGCAGAGAGCAAGCCCTCGTCGACCGTCTTCCTTCTTCTTCTCATGGGCCGAAGGCCACTAGACGGTCCAGGACGCCCAAGACGGCCTCCAGATGACCCAAGATGCCACCAAGATACCCCAGAGGCCTCCAAGAGGTCTCCCAACAGAGCTCGAGGAGGCCAAACAGCAAGTATTTTGCGATGGCCACCGCTGGTGGCCCCGCGTCGAGTGAGTGGGCATCGGAGAAGACTCGCTGGCCCCTTGGGCGCCCCAAAACAAGCCTTTGCTTGCATACGTTTGATCGCCTGACTATCGTGCCCCCCCTCATTTGTGATCGCTTCTCCTCGGCCTTCTTTGTTCACCTCGTCTATTCATGGGCGTTCTCGCCCGAAAAGTGCACATTGCGTCTGATTGTTTTGGGGCCGCTCAAAAAGCTTCTCCCGTATGCTTTTCGCACTGATGCTCACTCTGCCCTAATTGAGTCTTGGGCGGGTGGGTGGGTCGAGTGCCGCTGCCTGCGCACCTCCGAGGGGGGTAGTGATGCCCCTTGTTTCTTCGGCTCCCGCCGCTCAGAGACCCCGTGCCCCCGTGTCGCTATCTGTCACTATGTGCGCTGCCCTCTCTTTCGGAGCGCCATCTGCAGCGCAGGGGCTCCACGCTTTCTTGACCTTGATTTGTTGTCTGCGCGCCTCGGCCCCAGTCGCGAGTGCGTGGATGTTCATTCACAGCGCCTGGCATTGGAGCGCGCGGCATTTCCTTTTCATTTGTGCAACAATCACATGAAAGCGGACCCATCCAGGCGGTCCAAGTCTGAAGTAGCCTGGGAGAGCGCCAGTCCTGCGTGGGCGATGCCCCGAACTACATACACGCCCGCTGGGCACTGAGTGTTTGACGTTGAACCTCGCTGAACCAGGAGGGATACATACACATATACATATAGATATGCATATTTGCATATCTACAAGGTTGCGTTGGCGCTTTGCGCCACGCGCCCTGGTCCTTTAAGCTTCGCGTATGGTGGCATTTGGCGTCGCGCCTTTTGGCTTCTGAACTTTAGACGTTTTTTTCCCAACCAACCTGTGTTGTTGGGTCCTCGTTTTGAAGAGACGGTCCCCGCGTCTCCTCCTCCTCCTCCTCCTCCTCCTCCTCCTCCTCCCTCCTCTCCTCCTCTCACGCTTCGTGGCCCCATAGGGGGTCCACCCAAGGCCCCAGTGGTGTGTGCCACATGCGTCTCCCCCACCCAGTGCAGCGCATCGTCGCCCCATAGGGAGGTCCACCCGAGGCCCCAGTTGTGTGTACCACATGCGTCCCCCCCACCCAGTACAGCGTTTCGTGGCCCCATAACGGGGGTCCACCTAAGGCCCCAATGGTGTGTGCCACATGCGTCTCCCCCACCCAGTACAGCGTTTCGTGGCCCCATAGGGAGGCCCACCCAAGGCCTCAATGGTGTGTACTACATGCGTCTCCCCCACCCAGTACAACGTTTCGTGGCCCCATATGGGGCTCCGCCGAAGGTCCCCGTGGCGCAGTCCGCATGCGTCTCCCTCGCCCAGTACAGCGTTTCGTAGGGGCTCCGCTGAAGGTCCCCGTGGCGCAGTCCGCATGCGTCCCCCCCACCCAGTACAACGTTTCGTGGCCCCATAGGGGCTCCGCCGAAGGTCCCCGTGGCGCAGTCCACATGCGTCTCCCTCACCCAGTACAGTGTTCCGTGGCCCCATATGGAGCCCCACCGAAGGTCCCCGTGGCGCAGTCTGCATGCGTCTCCCCCACCCAATACAGCGTCTCGTGGCCCTATAAGGGGCTCCGCCGAAGGTCCCCGTGGCGCAGCCCGCATGCGTCCCCCCCCACCCAGTACAACGTTTCGTGGCCCCATATGGAGCCCCACCGAACATCCTCGCGGCGCAGTGCGCATGCGTCTCCCCCACCCAGTACAACGTTTCGTGGCCCCATAGGGAGGTCCACCGAAGGTCCCCGTGGCGCAGTCCGCATGCGTTTCCCCCACCCAGTACAGTTTTTCGTGGCTCCATAGGGGCTCCACCGAAGGTCCCCGTGGCGCAGTCTGCATGCGGTTCCCCCGCCCAGTACAGCGTGTCGTGGCCCCATAGGGAGCCCCACCGAAGGTCCCCGTGGCGCAGTCCGCATGCGTCCCCCCCACCCAGTACACCTCCGTCGGAGGCCGTCGGAGTTCCGCGCCTCGCTCGCCCGTCGTCGCTCTGCCCAGCGGCAAGAGCCTTGCCCGCTATCAGCCAGCCAGCTAGCTCTCTTTGCTCCGCGCAGCGGACAACCCGCTCGCGTCGCTGGGACCCCTCCGGGGCGACCTGCGCGCGTCGCGGGGACTCCGCGCTGCGCTGCGCCCGCAGCCTTGGACTTTTGAGTGCGCGGGCAAAGAGGGAGTAAAAGAAGGGGAGGAAGCGGGCGCGATCCTCGCGGGGGGCCGCGCCGACATTGGCGTCGCGGCGCGCGGGCGATGCCGTCGGGGAGTCCCGGGGAAACTCCTTGCGGCGGCCACGCCCAGCGTCACGACTACTCAGAGGCAGTCATTCTCAAACTATTGACGTTCATATACAATTACACCATGCTTTGTCATACTCGCATTCATGCGCGTAGACTCGCTCGTGCGCAGATTCAGTCACAGTGAGACGCACTCGCGCTCATATTCACTCGCGCTCAGTCTCCCCACGTACTCAGATCAATCATTTTCGTTCGCGTTGTCTACCACGCCACTCATTTCGGCACACCTCTAGCACGGTTCGTTGCCTCATAGGGATCACCACCGAAAAAGTGAATCACAATTGCGGTACTCACACCTGCATATGGTTGGGTCCTTCGTCAGGCTAGTTAAGTCCCAGTGTCCTTTCTTTCTTTGCTTTCGCCCTCAATTTACATGCTCGTGCGCCACCCGGGTTTGTTTGGCGTGGTTGAATCGAATTCTAGACGCTTCGCGTATCCCCACCAGCCCATCCAGAAACGATGCCCAGGCGAATGGAGGTGATCAGGGAAGTGAGGGAGCATACAGAGTAACACAGGGCCGGGGAACCCGTCTTACCGAAAACGGCGAGGATGGAGGAGGAATCGGAGAAGGATGAGGAGGAGGAGGAGGAGGAGGAGGAGGAGGAGGAGGAGGAGGAGGAGGAGGAGGAGGAGGAGGAGGAGGAGGAGGAGGAGGAGGAGGAACTGAAGGAGGAGGAGGGGGAGCGGGAGGAGGGAGGAGGGAGGAGGAGGAATAGGC